ATAAATAAATAAATAAAACTCCTTCCCTGCCCCAAATCAGCGACACGTGGACTTCGTCTGTTTTATCAAAGGATGGTTTCTTTTTCTCTTGTTTCATCTTTTTTTCCTCAGTTGAATACAGATTTTCTATTTCTACTAAATTTCTTTTCAGAATCTGAGCTCAAATGCCTCGCTGAAAACTCAGTTCCTTCAAGACTACAGTCTATTTTATTGATTATAGTTTTTCCATTGAAGGTAATTTATATACTTGCAGTATAAATTATATATTAAATTAAAAAGTACACTGGGAGAGAAACTGTAGCAACATGTTTTAATGTTAGGTAAATAACTACTGACAGTGCTTCTATCCCATGATGTTTAGAAAGCAGCGCGTGACTACAGAATATAGCAGAAGTACTGGAAGGTGGCTCCTCTACTCAGTCGCTGTCTCCCCGTCAGGGCTGCACTGGCTGGTCACCTTGGCCCCTTCTTGGATAGTTGAGCCCTGCTTCTGCTCAGGATGGCTGTGTTGATAAAGACCTCAAAGTGATCATTAAAATAGAAGGCATGGCTGTTCTGTATGGATTCATACCTTTTTACCAGACCTGAATAAATAGAATGAAACATTCCTTACTAATGAAGACTAGATTGGGTTTATATGGTCACTTTTTTTTTTTTTTTGTCTTTTTCTTTTTTTATCAGTACCGGGGATCGAACTCACGACTGCCTGCTTGCAAGTCAGGTGCTTATGCCGCTGAGCTAAATCCCCAGCCCCAATATATGGTCACTTCTTTATGTGGGGCTTTGATTACTCATTTCTTAGGGTTTTTTTGGTTTCAGTTTTTTTTGAGAAAAGAAGGGAAAGAAGCTAATTTTTCTATCCCAGTGAACAAATAAACTTTCCTTAAATTCTTGGTAATTTAAGGAAACTACAGATTTAAAAGTTTTTTTTTTTAACCTTTATTTCTTTGCTTTTTCCTCTTCTAGTTTTTGAAAAATCTTTGCCATTAACTCATTTGTTGGGAGGGGTATCAGGAAGCAGACTCAGGACCTCGCATTTGCCAGGCAGATGCTGTGCCACTAAGCTTTATTCCTGGCCCCTCAGTTTTTCTTGAGAAGTTTTAATTTATGTATTTTCTCATTATCTGTTGTTTTGTTAATGCCCTCAGCAATTGCTAAATATGATATTTTGACAACCAGATTTTTTCTGGCTGTATTCTGTAATTTTTTTCTTTTATAGTTCTTATATTTTCTGATTAATCATAAAGCTTTAGTGCTATACAGATTGAATAATCTAATTCTCCTTTTATCGTTATTTAAATTTCCAGTGTAACGTGTGATGTGCAAAATTTAAACATACTGTCAAATCAGAGAAGCATGTCTCCTATGATTTAAATGAACATAGAAAGTTAAGTAACATGAAGCTCTAATTAAAAGCTATGATATATTCTCTTTTTAGCATTGCATCAAGGATTAAAAATTATTTTTATAGGTTAACTTTATCAAGCTGAAAAATATATTTACCTGTGTTCATTTTCATATGGCCTTCAGGAATTGGTAGGAAATAACAGGTCCAAAATAAGTAGGTTTGAATAGACAGATTAGTAGAATCAGGCTATATGAACTATGATGCGGTGAGAGACCCTCTTGTCCATCCCAAGCTTTGGGGGTTGATGGACCGATCTAATCAGCTCTGTGAAGTGTAAGGAAGCTAGAATTGGCTTTGGAGGAGTGTGGTTAGAAAGTAAGCCAAGATTGCTGGCAGGAAATATTACTTAAAGGGGTTTAGGGAATAGTACTTTGAGGATGGAATCTCTGAAAAAAAGGAATGGTGAGTTAAGTACCAGCATAAGAAAAGGAAAGGCTGGTGCAGAAGGGAATGGGGCCATAGCCTTGGTGGAACTGGGTCCCTCATTGAATGGTTGGGGACACCATGGAGCAATCTGAGTTCACAGGTTCGACATGGGGAAAGAGGTGTGTGAAAGGCGTTGACAAAAATACCACTGCTCAGAGCTGATCTGGTTGCAAATATCCCACCATTTAACTTATTTTCTGCTTTTATTTTGTAGGTCTATAGCAACCATTTAAAACCCACAAAAGTACCAATTAACATTTTATTCCATATTATAGACCCCTCATCTATTGCTCTGTTTCCGTAAAGTGGCAAAACCATAGACAAATACAGTCAGTTTTATTTTTTCTCACAGAAACATTCCTGGGGAGTATTTTTATAGATTGAGTTCAGTGCCAAGGTTACCACGAGTCCTGCAAATATAAATAAACTAGGAAAACAGATTTGAGTCTTGTGTTTTAAATAGGGTATTCAAAGTGGCTAGGGCTACACCAAGTAGCTTGCATTTAATTAAAAGTAAAAAAGCATCCTTTGTGGAAAATTTGTCTGAAATAAAATTCTGAGGTCACTAGAGCCAACCTAGTGGCAGTTTATTTAAAATTATGAAAAATTCGATAGTGTTACATTTAGCTTCTGAGAATAAATAATTTTCATTTCCCCTCACACATATGCAGGATAATGAATATGAGTCAAAGGAAAAGAAAATAATTTTGTCTAACGTATGCATAAAATTGTGCATTTCTGACAATTGATAGTTTCCTCATAACTCTGTGTGTATCATTTTAGAGCATCATTTTTGAGATACATGAGTATCAGCTGAATATTTTCTTGTTAGCACAATATTAACTGCTGGCAAATAGTTTTAGCTCTTGATCAGGTAGAATGCAACATCTGCTCCCTTTATGATTTTTTTTTTAGTGTTATATTGTAAATTTTATTTATTTATTTATTTATTTTACACTTTTTTTTTTCTTTTTTTCTTTTTACCGGTACTGGGAATCGAACTCACGATGCTTGCAAGGCAGGTGCTTATGCTGCTGAGCTAAATCCCCAGCCCCAAATTTTATTTTCAAAGTTCGATTGATAAGGAGGAAAATAATAAAGCAGACAAGTACCAAAAACAGGATAATGATTCATATACACACAAGGTATGAACACCATATGCTCCTTTCTAGCCAATTTAACTCTACTCACACATTTAAAATACACAGTACATTTCAATCTGTCAAGAAGCTGAGCACATTTAGCACAAGAAAGAAACTGTACTTTAGCTTCTGATCATTACCCCGAGATCCTGGAACAGTAAAAGATGGAATCTCGATACTTATTACCATCCAGTAACAAAAAATTAACTTTGAAAAGTAATTCCTGAGTATCACCGATTCACACATGATTTAAGGATTAAAATCTTAGAGCGGGTTCTACTTGATGTCCCGGACCACTCTCCTGCGGTGGTTTGTGTTCATCTCCTCCAGTGCATGCTCCACCTACTGCACTAAAGGAAGCAGGAAGCAGGTGTCCGTCTGCAGAACTTTGGTGTTGTGATCTCCATTGTGATTAAGGTGAAGCCTGAAAGTTGCCGCCGGTTTAATCTGCTCCCAGAGACTTCTGCTTGCAAGCTGTATGCCTAGTCGCCATTCAAGGCTATAGTAAGTGGGAAGGTCAGTGCCAGTTCACTTAGAGTAGTTCTAATGTCCTTTCTCTTGTTCAGATGAAGCTGAAGCAATAATTTGTTTAATTCTTCAGAGAATCCCAAAACAAAAACAGTCTTGGAAATCCAGTTCAGATATTATAAGCTTTTGAGTTCTCAGTAAGGAGATAGGTTAAGTCTTCCATCCCATGCAGGACTCGCACTGAGTTTTGCTGTGCTGTCCACTTGAGGCAGGAAAGCCAGGCACTCCTTATGCTCCTGCGACAAACCCAGCAGCACCTTCTCTGCCCAGCCAGTTCCACCCACCCCGCCCTCACCAGTCCTTGATGATTTTAAGAGAAACATGGAACATAATATCTGGAGTAATTATCATCAGTTTCTTAGTGTCACCCTTAGTAGTATTTTCTTAATATGGAATAAGTCTCTGAAGTAGAAGACAACGTTCTTTGGAATAGTCAATAATAAAATTTTGTTATTTGGCATGTATTCTTGAAGACGGGTTTTCATGCAGTCAAGAGACAGACAGAGCATACTGACAAAAAATATTACTAACTTCATGCTGTTTTTCAACATACAAACTCATTATCTAATAATATCTCACCTAAATGAACTGCTTGATTATTCCAACAAAATTGCTGTTCTTTTTAACTCCTGAACATTTATTGCTTCTACACATTCACATTTCCTTGTAATAATACTTTCCTCTCATTTTTTTATTGTGGTGAAATGCACAACATAAAAATTACAAGCTTATCCATTTAAAATGTATAGTTTAGTGGTATTAAGCACATAAATATTGTTGTGTAACCATCACCATCATTCACCACGTGTATCTTTCCTGTCTTTCAAAACTGAAGCATTACAGTCATGCAACAGTAATTTCTCATTCCTCAATCATACTTTTTACAAAGTCTATGTCAGTTTCCATTGGTCTGGTCACTTCTGTTACACTGTAAGCCCCTTGGAAGGAGACCTCGCCTAGTCTTTATCCAACATACACGAAGGGTATTTATTGTCAGGCATTTTTCTGGTACTTTGCCAATATCAATTCACATCATTAGTCATCTCTGTATGTCCTATAGGGTCTAGCATGTGTTTCGCTCGTGGGAAATACAAAATATTTGTGGAGTGAATTTTGGTACCACTTAAACATTTTTCAGCAACTGGCAGTTACAGTACTCTGGTTGTAAATTACTGAAGGAGAAAATTACCTCGGAAAAATGTTTTCAGGCATAATCTAACCCGAGGGCATAAATTTAAAGAAATCCTTCAATTTAGCTGCAGTTAGGCCAGAGTATTAATAAACTAAGTTAAGAAGGAAGTTTTAGCTAAATGATAGCGCCTATAGAAAGTGACTCAACACCGCCAAGCTCTTCATTTCTTTGGGCACCCAGAGACTCATAGAAGACACAGCGGGCGTGAACACCCACACCCGCAGGGGGCGTGGCGTAGTAATGGGCGTGGCTTTAACGGGAGGGCGGGGCCTAAGGCTGGCGGGGCGGGGCTGGCCGGGCGGCCGGGGCGGGGCGCGCAACTGCAGCGGGCGGCTATGGCGGCCGACGGCGACTGGCAGGATTTCTATGAGTTCCAGGAGCCGGCCGGAAGCCTCCTGGATCAGGAGAACTGTAACGCGAGCCCCGAGGCCGGGGTCGGGGCCGGGGCCGCGGTCGGAGTCGGGGCCGGGGCAGGGGCGGGCGGGGGCGGCGACGGCTTCCCGGCGCTGGCTTGCAGCCTGGAGGAGAAGCTGAGCCTGTGCTTCCGCCCCGCCGTGCCCGGCGCCGAGCCCCCGCGGGCGGCCGTGCGGCCCATCACGGAGCGCAGCCTGCTGCAGGGGGACGAGTGAGTGCGGGCCTGGCCGGGCGCGGCGGGGCGGGGCCGGGCGCCGGCGGGAGCCTCCCCTCCCCCGGCTCGGGCGGCGGAGGGCCGCGCAGGCGCCTCCCCCCTCGTTCCTTCCGCCTCCTCCGGGCTGGGGATTTAAACCCCGCGCCCGCCCCGCCCGCTGCGCCCAGCTCTGGGAACCGGGCTGGGTGGGAGCGAGTTTCGCGTGCGGAGCGGTAGTTGCTGGCAGCGGGGAGGCATTCATTCATCAAGCTCGCGCATGCAGTCTTCCTGCTGGGAGTAGTAATGGGACTGGAGTACGACGCAGTTCAGGATGGCATATAGATCGTAAACAAATATTTGTAGGAGCGTGATATGGGAGATTTGAAAGAGGATATTTTAGGGAGAGTCGGGAAAGATTTCATAGAAGTTAGTTGCAAATTGAATCCCAAGGATGAGTAGGAAGTTTGGCGGGTGAAGAGAGGTCGGGCCTTTTAGGTTGAAGATGTAGCATGTGCAAAGGGACCAACAAGTGAGTCACATTCAGGCTACAGGGTCTGCCCCCAACCCCCGCCAGACTAGGTGGCATGCAAGCCACCACAGAGACAAAAACGAAGGACTCCTCTTGTTAATGGAAGGGGTCTCTGTGGTAGGAATATAAGTACCGATTATAGATTCACATAAGTGACCGATTTCGGTGACTGGAAATTGACAGGATTTATAGGAGCTGGAGGAGGAAAGGGGCAGTGTTTTGGAGAGCGCTTGTTTAACTACTTTGAGCCCCGGTTATAATTTGGCTGAAGGTGGTAGTTATATACCTCGGTTTTATACCAAAAGATTAGAAGAAATGGAGTTTGAGCATACTGTATTTATGGGAGGAGAGGAGCCCCTGGACAGGCTGAAGTAACGAATGGAATGTATGATGAAGATATGGGTAGGATGGGTTGTCAGGGCATTAGTGGGACAGAGAGATGAGAGATTAGGGGACAGGAATTGTTAAGAGGTGGAAGGATCCTTGAGCATAGAAAAAAGCCTCCGCCATGAAGTTCCCATTTACCCTGTAAATCAGGAGATTTCCCCGGAAGAAGGAAGGAAGCTTGGGAGAAGGGAGTTGGGGGTGAGGGTCTGTGGACATGGCCGGAAGCTGGGTTGGCAGACGCTCTCTTCTTATTAATATCTCTCCACCATGTCTTGCCCAGGTGTGGAGGAGGGGAACATTTGTGGTTGGATTTTATATACATAGATAAGTATGCAGTTGATAGTAAAAGATGACATTTTTGAAAATGATATCCCAAAAGAGAAAAGAGTTTCATTTTTAGATTTATATACCCTGAATCACTAAGACTTAGGAATCATTCTGGATTTAAATGTTACGTTCAAGAGTAATTACTTAAACATATATATAAAGTTAAAGGTCCCTATTTTTGTTTTACTTGGACTCTTGGAAAGTATTTTAGCCTTTGCTTAAACCTTAGGTTCTTGTGAAATTTAGAGTACTATTCTTCATAATGATTTTCAGTAGATGCGATGTTAGTGGCAGTGCATGTATCTTGATTTCTAGTGTATAAGAAATCTCCTTCAACCCCTGGACATGGTCATCAAGGTCCTTTACTCCTCTCCATTGCATACATTTGCTCACTTGCTCAATAGATACAATTCCAGTTCATTTTTAGTGAGAGTAGAAAATTCTTGACAGTTCTTTTACTTAGATACTTGCCTTGCCTGAGGGCGCTATATTTAACTTCTTTGAGCCCTAGTGGTAGTTTTGGTAAATACAAAAGGTGTGTACTTAGCTACTGAGGTATTGTGCACAATCACTATCAACAGGACTTTGACCTTGGAAAAGAACTGTCTTCCCTGTTGTTTATGATGGTTTATAATACTTCGTGATAAAGATGAAGGCAGTTCATGCTAGAAAATTCTAAAACTCTTCAGCTAAATTTGGCATTGTGTTCTGACTACAGTTGTTCTGACCTTCGTGGGAGTAGATGATTGTCAGTTGCCCTTAGCTTTCTTACAAGATCAAAGTCACCCACCGGTCACTTGTAGATTGTATTTTATTCCATCTGTCCTTTCTTATAGCCTCATTTAAGAAGAAGCCAACCCCTACCTTCCCCCAGGATCTGGGCTCATTAGAGTATCGTACTCTAGTACCTGACCGGGGATGGGTATGTAGTCTGCTGTTCAATATTTGAAAATTTATAGCCAGGAAGACATGGGCCAGAAACCCAGGTATGTCCCACCCAGAGACGTTCTGGTTAGTTGGCGTTTGAGGAGATTGGATTCCAATAGAGAGGAGACGATAGGCATGCACCCTGCATACGGGCAATTTATTGGGTAAATCGCTCAGTTTTTTGAGCTTTTTGGTTCATGTTTTCATTGCGAGAACGTGTAGTTGAAGGCTAAACTTCATTTAGGATGTTAGGCTTTTGGCAGCTGCCTCCTATAGCTTTTGCTGTTTGGTACCAAATCCCTGTTCATTAAGTGAAGTGTTGATACTCCATTATTAAACTTCCATTCTACTGGTTTTTTGTATCTTCATTAACTTACATGCTTGGGAAAGAGTCCATCCAGTTATTTAATGACTTACTTTACTCACGATTAGATACCTGTTATAAGTCTTAGGTTTTTTTCTGTGCTGTGTTTGTGTCTTTTTCTAGCCAGTAACTAAAGTAGCTCAAATACGTAGCATTTAATTTACCCTAATTGAAGTTCATTTCGTTTGTCTCTCTGAACTCTGAACGCTTTCTTGTTCTTTCATAAAATTTCTGTTTTACTATGCTGATATAATTTTGGTATCAAATCTGCATTTTGGTGTGAAGTTGGAGTTTACTGTCCTAGTGTGGTGGGGCTTGGCATCCTCCTCAATACAGCTCATCCGAATGCATGCTTACAGTAAAGGAGCTGGCCGAAATGCCTGCTACTGTTCCAAGCCTCATTTAGGGCAGCTGGCACCCAGGGAGGTTCAGGAACTTGACCAAAGGGTCACTGATGGAGAAAGAGCGAAGCTGAGAATTTGTTTCTTGAACCCTAGTTAGAAGCCCTTTTGATTTCACCCCATCACCTCCCCAAGATGCTGTTTGATAACAGAGTAGCTTTGGCTAAGGCCCGTGTGTGTTTTATGTGAGTTCCCTCTTTCCCTTTTCATCAGTCTTGTACCTTAGCTTCTGATATTGCAAGTTAGATACTAAATCCTAATTTCACATTGAGATTGAATCCTTTCCTCCGAAAAGATAGCAAGTTTTGGTTAGAGAGAGATGATTCCCCTTATGAAATGTTCTTTGTGTTTCTTTACGGAAGAAAATAATTGTAGTAAACAGAGTGTTTAGTACCTGTCTGGCCAGGGAAACATCACCTAACTTCGCTGTGCTTTAATCACTTTGTCTGTAAAATGGGACTAATAATGGTTCCTACTGCTAACATTTTTGAGGATTAGATGAATCCATGTAAACTGTTAGAAATGGTGCCTGGCACATAGTATGATGGAAGTGTTAGCAGCTGTGTTTGGGGGAGTTTTCTGTGCCCCTTCACTTTCCATCAGGGCTTCTTGTCTGCCCAGTTACATGATTTTCAGTTGGTCTCAGTAGCAGACCCTACTTCGTGGTGTTTTTCTGAGAAACACTGTGTCTTCTTTTCTTTTGTTTTTGCTTGAATAGCGAGTGTCCTTCTTTTGTTGCAATACTGGATATTTGTTTATTAAAAGACATATAGACTATGAACTTTCACTGATTGTAGTTTTCTTCTTTTTAAGGATCTGGAATGCCCTGACAGATAATTTTGGAAATGTCATGCCTGTAGACTGGAAGTCATCCCACACTAGGACTCTACATTTGCTTACTCTGAATCTCTCAGAAAAAGGGGTAAGTTGAACCAATGGTTTCTGCAAGACTGGGGTTGACAGGGGAAGTGAATCAGTAGCATTTCTGTTCAGGCACATTCATTGAGTTGCCTCGAATTTCCCTCACTGGCCATCTTGGCTGTCACTTTGCTAGTGTAGTCTTCCGGTTCTTTCCACTCTGTGTGCTTAGCTGGTTCTGTCATCAGGGAAAATGTGGGCACCAAAGATCTCCGTTTCTTCCTCTTTACATAACGTCGGTGTGCTGAGAACGCTCACTGAGAAACCTCAGCTTTGCCCTAGTGTGACCGGCGCAGCCCCAATGAAACAGGAGACGCTCTTGTGGGCGACAGTTAACTGCTGCTTTATTTACGCGGGCTCTGGTTTATATATTTGGCCGTGACCAATCACAGGCTGCCACGAGGAAGCAGGGCGGGAATGGGACGCAGGCTCTGGCTACTATATCCAGCTGTGGCCAATCAGGAGTTGCCACAGAGTCGGCATGGGGCGAATATGGAGTGAGCACGAGGTGCGCACGGGTTGGCTAATTTAAAGAGGGACGTAGCGCATTGCGGAAGCTGGCGTGGTCCTTAGTCCTGGGTGGGGTATGGAATGTTGAGCGCCTGCGCCCAACACTAGTGTATTGATTGTATTGGAATATCAGCATAGAGTTCACTGTTTGGTGAATTTAGTGACTTTCTAGACGTGATCTGTTGTCCAAAGACCATGTATTTCGGTGAATATTGAGGAGCCGTTAGAAGAGATTTCAGTGCTTGGCTTTTCAGTGTGTGCATGGCTACTCATCCGGCTTGCGGCTCCTGCATAGATCCTGGTATTGTTAAGTGACCATGAGGGGAAGAAATGTGAGGTGACATAGGATGGCTAGAGGGCCAGAAAAGGAGAGACAGTTACTTAAAATGGAAATCATAGTGCTAAATTATGTAAACTGTAGGGCCAGACTGTCTAAGCTGCTTAGTAGATAACAATGTAAGCTCATGTCAGATTATCTGGCATGCTGTATCGTTCATTAAGTGTGTCATTATTGAGAGTGTAAGGCAGTAGGGGTATCTGAATTTTAATAGTATTGTTAGTGTTGTGAGAAAATGATTTTTAAAATTACTTGACTTGGAAGAGCTTGCTGCTTTCATTCTCTAGTGAAACACAGAATTCTGACTCTGTTTCCCAGTATTACAGTATGTGGGGTGTTACTGTTGGTTCCTGTCTTTAATCTCATTAAAGCTTTTCAGATTGACCAGGCACACATTCAGTGGAAGAGAACAAAACAAAACATGTTATGCCCTTTCTTCTATTTATTTAGGTCTTTCGTATCATTTTTGGCTTCATTTAAGTTCCCTTCCCTTTCTGAAGCTTCCTATTACCACTTTTAGCCTTTGCTGATCTCATGGAATTATATAATTTTAGAGTTGGAAAGGACTTTAAAGGACATTTAATCCAGCCTCACTTGGTGGGGGGGATCCCCATTTACAGCATCCCAGACAGATGGTCACTTAGCCCTGGCCCGAATCCTTCCACTCCTCTGTGTGGACGTTGTCAGCACTGGTGGGAATGTGAACTTTTAACGGACTTGTCTTCTGTCCCACAGCGCTCAGCCCTGTGGCCTCATAGATGCTAGTTCCAAAAGCCCTTTTTGCATGTTTTTGTCAAATCACTAGTGGTTTTGATTAATTGTATTTTTCTGGGTTTGTCATTAGATTGACTTCCCAGCAGGTACCTGGCACAGGGTGAGTACTGAGACACGTGTGTTGTGATACTGAGTGGTGAGTGGGTTACAACTTCCGCAGTGTGACTGTGAACCAGGGATGATGATGGCAGTATTTTTTCTTTAGCATTGTCTATATTATTTAAAGCAGTACTGAATCCGCAGTAATTAGCCCATAAGTACCATTTTGTTTGCTATATTTAAAAATAGCGTAGAAAACTTCCTTTTATAGTTTCTGAGAGAAGCACATTAGCAGTACAAATGGGTACTCTAACCAATTTCCTTGAATAAAATGTGAGTTTTAGATTGCATCTTGGGAAGTGGAGCTGATGTTGGATTGTGGTTTTCAATGCTAGAGTGATGGTGTTGCCAAGTTAGTGATTAGAAAGAATTTACTGCTAGTACTAAGGGTGAAAGCTTCACCTGCAATAACTCAGCATATTAAAGCAAACAGGTGACCATTTATCTATCTTCCCATTGGTCAGCTGTCTATCCTGAAATGACTATTCTGATGATGAACAAAACTGAAACTATTTCTTAAGAATTAATAGGCAACAAGGTCTATATAAGAAGCATCATGTCCCTCTATTTAAAAGCATTTTTTAACCTGAGAACGATTTTATTTGCCATTGTTAACTGGCTACTCTGTTCTTTCCATGGCTAAGCGATGTACAGTTTACCTTTTGGAAACATTGTTTAGATTATCAGAGCTGTCAAGCAGGGTCTGGAGGAAATTTTTTTCTCCACAGTGGATTTATTTACTTAGGTTTTTTTTTTGTTAAAATGAGAAAACCTTGAGTTTCCTCACCACAGTTTGCTAGGAATTCAGTGCTTTGTTTTCTTTCATTCATTGAAGGTTAAGATGCACTTTTTAAAATTTGTGGGTCTTTTCTGGACTAAGGCACAACTGCTGCATTCCAGATTCTTGTGTGAGTTCATGTTTTCCACCTGATGTATCTGTCTGCAGTTTCATACAGGGAAACAGTACCACCAGCTCTGTTTCTAAGCCTGGCATGGTAAGGAGTGATGGGAATGCTTGGCACACAGAGGTCTTATTTATGCCTAATGGGAGAGCGAATGATAATCCCCATGACAGCCAAGGTTAGTTTTCAAAGCCTGAGAGGGATTCTAGCACATGGCATATGCCATCTCTGTGGGGAATGGGCTTGGCTCTCTCTCTGGAAAGATGATCTTAGATCATTATTTCTGTTGTCATGGAACTTATAAATATTATAATAGTTTCTGGTATTACTAGTAAATTTTGGATTTTTTTCTAAATCTGGTGCAATTCTTACATATGCTTCTCCTTCATTTTGCTAGGCAACATCTCCTGTACATCTTCTTCTGCACACACCACTTCTGGAGAGAGACTTTATGAAATGTGTCTTTATGTTTTTATGCAGAAACAGGAAGAATGTTTTCCTTAGGAGTTACTTCAAATTAACTTTATAACTATTTAACTTTATAACTTTAATTAACTTTGTAACTTCAAATTAAAACTTTATATATTTTAAGTCACAAGGGGAAAAATAAGATAAAACTGTGCTATTCAAGCCACAGCTCTGAACAGTTTTAGGGCAGATGGGTTTGAAGTATGGGATCAGTGACCAAGGCGTCAGGTTCACCCCAGGCTATCCATAGCATCACAGTGTGGTGCGTTTTTCAGCTTAGCTTCTTGAAATCCCATGTTGCCTCATGAAGAAACTAGACTCTTGATCTTTCTTATTAAATTAATAGAGAAAAACACTGTCATAATTTTAAAAAGCAGCCCAGAACCATAGGCTTTAGAGGAAAAACAAGAAGGCGGCCTCTGGCCCACTCACTTTGCCCTTGAGTTTGGGTTGCAGCAGGCACCACTTTTAACTGCTCCCGCTGCCGCTTCTAGCAGAGAACCTGCTTACTTTACGTGCTTTTATTGTTAAATTTTAGACTTTATTCTTTGGCTCAAAGGCTGTAGATTTAGCTCTCTTACCGTTCTCCACCCTCTACTTCTGTAACCTTCTCACAGATTTTCCCAGTCTTCCCAGCGTAATCCTATCAAAATTCCTTAGTGAATTGATCTTGATCATTTCTATTATTTAAATACTCACGGTTAACTCATTTTAACAATAATAATAACTATTATTATGTACTTGTAATGCAAGTTCTGTTTTTTCCCTAGGGCAGCGGTAATTGTCTTTTTCGTGGGTTGATAATTAGCTTACCTGTCTTATAGCAGAGTCTACCAGGAATCTGCCAGGTTGACAGCCTCTTTGCTCTTTCCTCTGGCTTTCTTGCTGCCTTGTGCGGTAAGTTCTGATCTGAACTAGCCACGCTCTAGCTTAGCTTCACAGCCATGACTCTAGGATGTTTATTTCCTCTGTCGTTACAAGAATTTCCTTCACTTGTCTTCTTTGTGGTACATCCTTTGTCTTCTTCCTTTTCACTTTCCAGCAGGCCGGTGATGCCTTCGTTTTTCTCCTCATTTGCAGTTTCTTGTACTCTGTTGTCTATGTTTACCTTAAACATCACATGCTCCTCTCTAAGGGACTTAGGAAGTGCTAGGGACCTACAGCCATTCCATTGGGTCCTCCCATTTTAGCAACCTTGTAACTAATCAGTAAAATAATCTTCCCAGATAAAAACTTTTAACTTTATGTTAAATATAATATTGTATTTCCATACAGGTTGAATAGCCCTTATTCGAAATGCAGTAGAAGTGTTTTAAATTCTGAGTAGTTTTGGATTTTGAAATATTTGCATATAATAATGAAACATCAAGTCCAAACATAGACTTTCTCTTTCACCTGCGCCATATATACCTGGCCTGATGGTAATTTATGCAGCACTTTTAGTGCACCTGTGTTTTGAGTGTGAGCTGTCACTTGAAGTCAGGTGTGAAGTTTTCCACTTGTACCGTCATGTCAATGCTCAAAAAATTTTAGATTTAAAAATTTCAGATTGTTTGCTTAACCTGTAATATAATATTCTAATTATATACTATGAATTGGAATGACATGGTTTCTTCTTACTTAGTCCTTGTTGTCCATTTATTCTACAGAAACTCAATGTGTACTAATTTTACCCGAGGGGTAGATTTCTTACTTTAGTTCTGTTTATCACTAGAATAGTCATGTCATGATGGACAGATGGGTACATAGACAGACAGTTCATTGATGGATGATACTTGTCCACTTGAATCTGCTAAGGTTTTCTAGGTCAGGCTTTTATAATTAGTACTAGTGCTGAATTGTAAGCGTTTAGGATAGGGAGTATTTGCATTGGGGAGGGCAAGGTCAAGGGAAACCATTAGGCACAGCAGAACGCTCCAGAGACAGCAACAGCCTGTAGCACTTTAATGGCGCTGGGCGTGAATAGGCAGGGAGAGACGAGTTGTTAGGACCTAGGGAGATCAGTTGTGGGGAGAGGTCTGCTTGACAAGAGCCGGAGCCTTTGGTAAAAAGCCAGCATCGACAAATGGCAGTCTGGCAGGGAGGAACAAGTACCCAGTGCTCACCTTCTCACCTAGTGTCTGCCAACTCTGTGCAACCCAACTGGAGCCAGAGGTCAAGGGCATCCTTTGATGTGGTCCATAGGGTCAGCCTCCTGGCCACAGAGTGTGGGAGAGAACGTGGGTGAGGTGGCTGGAGACGTTCCAACGCAGTTAGGTTTGAAGATGTTTTTAGAATCTAGACATACTCTCTTTTGGGAAGAAGAGATGTTCCCTAAGTGAGACCCTGTGGATAGATGCTGCCTGCCAGGGTGTTAATTACATATCTGTTACACCGAATGTTAGAAGTTAGTTTGCCAGTAACTCTGTATGTTTTCTGTATACTTTTTAACACACCCATCTTTCTGGTAGATTCTTAACTAACATTGCTAAGCCTGCTTATTTTCTCTCTTCCATTTGCTCTAATTCTTATGTTTTTTCCTGAATAGTATCTTTTATTATTTTTTTTCTCAATTACTTGTCAGTTTTTGTAGTGTTCTTGTAGCTGTTTCTTTTGGGGAAAAATTAGCTAAGTATATATCTATATGAGGCCATAGGGATGTCAACATAACTTAGCACTTTTGCATTGGTTCTGTCTTGTTCTTTCTGCTTGGGATTTATATATAAAGTACTACACAGTGAGTCTGGAGTCACCAATGACTTCTCCTTTTCAAGGGAAATCTCTCCACATGTGATTTTCACTGTTCTCTTTTACCCAGAACTACTGACTTTGTTTTGGTCAGAGTGTCCTATTTTTGACCATGGATATTTTTGCTTTTAGATAAACGATGGTTTGCTTTTTGACACATCAGATGACGAAGAGCTGAGAGAACAGTTGGATATGCATTCAATCATTGTCTCTTGTGTCAATGAGGAGCCCCTCTTCACGGCAGACCAGGTACCAGGACAATCTCATCAACACAAGGAGAGCAGAGTTACACCTGAGAGCCATTGCATATATTGCATATTGCTATCTCAGAATTTACTTTTTTTCCCTTATGTTGTGTGGATACATAGACTTATTATTTAACTCCTTCCACTGAGGAAAAAAAGAAAATATACATTGTCTGGTGGTGAAATTTTGTTGATTGGGAAGATTTTTAATCTAGGCATTATTAAGGAGTACAAGTTCCTAAGGGAGGCTTATTTCTTAAATCAAAATCACAGAAATATTGTGAATTTCCTACCTTCTTTAGATTTATACAAAGATGGGCAAATATATCTGTATAGAAATATGTCTGTATTTACTTTATTTGAGGCTCTGGGTAAGAAACACTAGCATGTATTAGATGTACCTTTTATGGGCCCCAGAAAGAAGTGAGCATTATTCCTGTGGAATGCTCTAATAATGTCAGCCCTGTGTTCATTGGAAACCAGTTGAATCAGCTTTCTCATTTTCTGAATACCCTCCCACCTCTGTTGTACTGTTGAAATGGGAAGCCAGAACTTCTTCCTGAAAGAAAACGTTCCTCGCTACTGGGACTGAGTTGTACCAGACTGTAGTTTTAGGCTAGAAAGACGAGGTCAGTAGGAGATATACTACGGAAGGTTGGGAGGAGGACATTAAAAATGTGCATCAATATGTGTCATTTTGATGCTCTTTGTCATACTTAGGGTTGGATTACTTTAGACTGGGAAGGAGTATGGCGCTTAAAATAGCAAAATAGTAGTGGGTTAGAGGGCTCTTGTGAGGTAGAACATGTTACTGCAAAGATGTGATCATAGGCATTCACTATGAAATCTGCGTGAGTTCCAAAAGCTACCCTTGTTCCTAAGACTTGAATGTCTCATTGTCCCCTTTACAATGCCTGTTTTGGGCAAATTTTTTTCTGATTAACATAATCCTACAGCCTTCGAATGTAGTTTTGTCTTTGCTCAGTAGAAGTGCTATCTCTTAAGCATGCATATTCACAAAGCATGTTAATATGATATTGTACACTCTCATTTAATTTTATTTTCTTTAATAGTTTTTTCTTAATCCATAAATCCTTTTTTTCGAAATACTGAGTACTTTTCTTTTAAAGTTTTGTTGAGTTCCATTCTTTTTTTTTTTCCACTTTAAGAATCTGAAACAGGTCAAGGTGCAGTTGTAAAGTTTGAGACACAATGTTTATGACAGTAGATCATTGTTTAAAAGGCAGATGTATTTCTGAAATTTTCCTGGTTCTTGTTTTTTTTCTTACTCGTTCTGTACTTTAAGAAATTTTAAAATATACTTTTGTCTTTGGTTGATTTACTGTATGAAATTCTTTTTCTGCTGTTGGAAAAATTTTGCTGTCAGAGAGGCAATCTCTCTATGTATATTTTTATGCTATTGTAGTTTCACAATTTTATGTCAGACTTTTTATTAAATAGCTTTAGACCAAGCATGTGCCTAAGGGTATACAGTAGGTTTCCATTTGACTGTAAATTTATGACCTTCTCCTGGCATATCTGGAAAACATGATCTGAGTGTTTTATAACATCGTTTTTCAAACATTGCAATATCTACTAGGGCCTACTGGATCATGAGAGACATATTAAAGTGTATTCGGTTTAGTTTTGCTTTTAGTGTGTTGCAGATTTTCTGTGATAAAAGCCCTGTTTACTTTTAAAAATCAAAAGTTTGTTTATTAAGAATATTCACTGCTGCACACTGTTGGTTAATGAGAATTCAGTGCATTTCTACTCTGATTACCTCGGGGAGTGCTGTGTTATGGACAAGTTATTTTCTCCCTCTATCTTTGATTAATGCTACTGTTTGTGTTTTGGAAGGTTATTGAAGAAATTGAAGAAATGATGCAGGAATCACCAGACCCAGAAGATGATGAGACCCCTACACAGTCAGATCGGCTGTCAATGCTGTCCCAAGAGATTCAGACTCTGAAGAGATCTAGTATGAGCAGCTATGAAGAGAGTAAGAGCCACCCTTATATGAGTGCTTTTTGTCAATTTCAGACATAGATGCGGCCGTCCTTGGGGAGCTGTGAGTTTCACAGGCCGCGTTGTACATCCTGCGCTGGCTGTCTTGTAATACCGTGCTCAGGATGTTCTTTCATTGTCGCCCAAGGACTGTGTTGTGTGTAACACTGTTCTAGTTTTCTGGGGTCTCTACAGGAGAGCACTTACTATTTGCTGAGTGGTTTACACAGTTGACTTTCATCTCCTCCAAGTTCTGTGGGCCAGAAGCCCAGGATTAAGCGGTCAGCAGGCTTGGTTTCCTCTGAGATCCTGCCCCTTGGCTTGTAACAGCCATCTTTCCCTGTGTCTTCACGTGGATTTCCTTCTACATGTGTTTTTTTCCCCCCAAATTTCCTGTTCTCGTGGGAACACCAGTCATTTTCCATAAAGTGCCAGCCTAATAACCTTGTTTTAAGTAGCACTCCATTCTGAGATGCAGTCATACATTGGTACTTGACTGCTCTGAATCCCATTGAATTTGGTACTTGACTCATAATTTACACAAAAATTTTGTCCTGGTACATGTTGTTTGTTTGGTACTTGAAGTTCGAGTTAGAGCTTGTCAGCGTCTGTTGCCTCTTGGCTCGTGTCTCTTTGCAGCCAACAACTTTTGATAGTTCTTGGTGTATTCATGATGCCTCCCAGTGTCAATGAACTGTGAGTGCTAAGGTACCACTGAGCCGGCAGTTAGGGCTTCTACATATGAATTTGGGGGAGGGCATACTTCAGCCTATAACACAATAATAAATAATCAGTAATTCCTATCTTTATAAGTAGTTGTCTTTGGTGCAGAGATGAAGAATTTTGGAAGTCAGAATTGTGCTTGAATTAGACCTGTTTGATCTACTTAAGAATAATGAGCTATAGAAAACATATACTTGATTACCATGAAAAGTTTCCAAAAAACTACAGCCAGCGTGTGAATATTCTGAGACTGATATCCAGGCATGCATCTAATTTTTGCTGTAGGATTGTTTCCCTCTTTGACTAGACAGATGGAGTCCCTGTCTGCTTAACTCCATTGTCCCTTGGTTTCACGTTCTGGAAAACTAGAGATTGATTGCCTTTGGGTGTGACTTCTTTTTAACATATGAAAGAGCTTTCTGATGGTCTTTTTCTGCCATGCTGCTGTAGATACATACTTAGCATTGTTAGAGTCCCATTTCCAAAATACAGTCCTGGTATCTGATAATATACAGAACTTCTTTTTTCTTTTTCTTTTTGGTCTTTGAGACAGGGTCTTGCTATGCGGTTCAGGCTGGCCTGGGGCTCACTCCTAACCCAGGTCCTGAACTTGCAGTGATCCTCCTGCTTCCTCCTCCCAAGTGCTGGGATTACAGGCCTGTACCACCATGCCCGGCACCTTACTAGTTTTCTAGGGTTCCCCTAACAAATATCACAGACTGAGGGCATAAACCATAGAACTATATTTTCTCACAATTCTGGAGCCAGGAATCTGAGACCACCAAGATGCAGGCATACTTGGTTTCTGGCAGGGCCTCCCTTTTGGTTTATAGATGGCTCTTTTCTACATTTTTACATGATCTTCCTCTGTGTGCTCTGTCTTGGCCTCTTGATTTCGTAAGGACAATAGTCACATCAGATTAGAACCCAGCCTAGTGTCCTCATGTTAGCATAATTAACCCTCCAGACAATCTTGTCTTCAAGCCATGTGGCCGCATCGGAGGTACTGGGGATTAGGTCTTCAACAATATCCTGTCTCTCACGTGTAGGGAAGTGCTGGGAAAAAACTGACACGGGCTTGCTAGGAATATTGTTCTTTTCATTCTCCTAATTATCAGCCAAATCCACAAATTGAGGCATGTGCGATTCAATGTATGTTTAGTTTAATTCTTTCAGATCGCCTCCTCCTCTGTCCAGGAGTTCCCAGAATCCTGTAAAATTGCTCACCGTTTCTTCTCAGCAGGTGGTTTCCATATAATCCCTCAATGTTGTGTGTATTATTTTCCGCGTTTGAGCCTTCTCAGTCTTGGCTGGAGTGAGTGCTACTCATGGGGTGCTTGATTTATGCAAGTGAAGTTTCGTTACACTTTACCTCCCAGCCAGCTAAGAAATGATTTTGCCCGCTAACCCTGCCCCGCTCACGTCCTGCCACCGACCCTGGGAGTTTGAGGGCTCTGAGAAAATCAGGGACAGTTTAGTTGCTTGGAATATTGTTTTCCTTTTTGGCACAAACCACGCTGTTGTGCTGCTCTGAAACACTTCTGTCTCAGTGTTTGCCGAACTTGTTTTGGTCACAGGGGTGAAGAGGCTGTCCGTGTCTGAGTTAAACGAGCTCCTGGAAGAAATCGAGACTGCCATTAAGGAGTACTCCGAGGAACTGGTGCAGCAGTTGGCCCTGCGAGATGAACTGGAGTTTGAAAAGGAAGTAAAAAACAGCTTTATTTCTGTCCTTATCGAAGTGCAGAACAAACAGAAAGAGCACAAAGAATCAGCCAAAAAGAAAAAGAAACTAAAAAATGGCAGCTCTCAGAATGGGAAGAACGAGAGAAGTCACGTGCCGGGCACAGTAAGTGATGTTTTCCAGGAGGCACCGGTGCTGGGGACAGGTGTCGGTGCTGGGGACAGGTGTCGGTGCTGGGGACAGGTGTCGGTGCTGGGGACAGGTGTCGGTGCTGGGGACAGGTGTCGGTGCTGGGGACAGGTGTCGGTGCTGGGGAGAGGTGTCGGTGCTGGGGACAGGTGTCGGTGCTGGGGACAGGTGTCGGTGCTGGGGACAGGTGTCTGTGCTGGGGACAGGTGTAGGTGCTGGGGACAGGTGTCGGTGCTGGGGAGAGGTGTCGGTGCTGGGGACAGGTGTCAGTGCTGGGGACAGGTGTAGGTGCTGGGGACAGGTGTCGAAGCACAGCTGGCCAGCCGCGGGGTGGCAGGTCAGATCTGTGCCGCCCAGCCCGCAGCAGCAGTAGCAGTGATTCTTCTAGAGTATGCTTTCTGCGGCTCTTCTGCAGGGTGTTTCTTGATGATACTTTTCATGCTGTTGGGATACCTTACCCCCAAATGTTTAGGAGGGAAGAAAGGGGAGGTAGCAGGGAGGGAGAATGTCTTAAAAGAAGCTTTATCAGGTAACCACTTTCAATACATCAGAATGTGAGTAGGGGTTACATTTGCCTGGTGGGCTTATGAACGGTTTTTGTACTTATGGATTATGTAATAAATTGCAGAGCAGTCTATTTAGAGGTGGCACAACTGTCTTGAGCATCAGTCACTGACTTGTAAAAACAGATCCCTTGTAATTTCAAGGTTAGGACACAGTGACAGTGGTTTTGTATGACAGCCAGCTGTGTGGCCTACAGATCAGAGTATTACTGATTGATGAAAACAAATTAGGATATTTGAAACTTTGACCCTTTCTATAATGGTGTTTTGTTTTCTACTTTATCTTTTTTCTCAAGTGGTCTGTTAATTTGCCTGATTAAATTTTATTATAAACATTAACTATGGATTATATGAGATGCATTTCCTATCAGTTTTACAGCTCTTATTTTTCTGTGATCAGTTGAGGCCTTGTATATTTCCACTTTGATTTTATGTGTGAAAAAATGGTTTAAGTTTTAGGGTACAATGGTTGAATAAAGGGATCTATTTTTCTAAAGGGGATATACATATTATTCTCTTAATTTATGACGTTGATAGCTTGGTAACATGTAATCACAAACTGGCTGTTATGGCTTAAAATAATATAAATTGTCCTTGAGTTGAATTGTTGAATTATCTTCTCTAGGGAGGTGGGTCCCATTGACCAGGGGCTGATGGAACTTTAGGAAGAGTATGTTCTCAGTTGCTGGGTCACTGCAAGGTGGTTAACACAAACTGGTGTATAGCCCATTCAGAATGTGGCTACTAATGTTGAATAAATTTATACTTTATTTGTGTATGTTCATTAATATGTGGTTACAAAGGGCAGAACTTATAAATTGAAAAAGTACTCATTTTTTAAAAAATGGCAGTATTGATTGAAAAGGTGTATGTTTGATTCTTTCTAGAGACTCCTCTCAGAAAAATATTTGTTTGGGTGTACAGTTCTGAGGAGTTTCCTTTAAAATATCAAGGATAATATTTTGCTCACATTTTAAAAAATTGCACCTTTTAAATTGCCCAGTTAATGCTAGTGGGATTAAATAAAATGCTTAGTGAAGAAGAAGTTACAGTGTGGTTGGCAGTTTCTGCATATCTGCTTTCAGGGATTACATGTGAAATCCTCTATTTATTGGCGTTAACACTTGGCTGAGAATAAATTTATCCCTCCAGGGGTGTAAAGGCTTCTTTTTGTAATTCCCATATAAACATGGTTAGAGTAGATCCATTGTGTCATTTTACATGGTGTTTCTATTGAGAAATGGATTTGGCAAGGTAGCATTTAGGTCATATTTGAACCTTTGTTAGTCTTGAAATAGACACATTGAACAGTAAGTCTTTTCACAGCATTTCAATTTGTAAAGTCGCTTCTTGAATTCTGATACAATATTTGTGTCAAAGCTTTAATTAGGACAGCAACGGCCTGGCTCAGCTTCTGGTACTTTTTCCTGTATCTTTTTTTAGCTGAAAATGCCAGAGAATGACCATGCCATCTGTGACACGAACAGCCTGAGACTTGTGATTTTGAAGAAACCTAAAGTGAAATGGCCAATTGGATAAACAGATTTCACAAAGTGTTACCTTCCCAGACCGATTATGTATCATACAGTATTGACAAGGCCTGATTTCTGTGGTTAATTATCACCAGTGATGCAAATTTTTTGAAAATGGTGACCTATGAGATTTCATGTGTCATCTAATTTTCCAATAACATCAGTCACTTTTTTCTTCCTAGCAGAGGTATTTTTGAGATAGCAGAGTCTGAACTTTTCCTTAAGCATGAAATAGCTTCCATTTTTCTCCAAGCATATTTTATTGAAATAACACAATCATGTGTACTTGTTTATAATATTTTACCCATAATTGCTAGCTTGTTCTCTTTGGTCTGAAGACTCTAGTGAAGTATCTCGTTGGAAATAGAGCAGCAAAGTTAATTTTAGAGACATGTTTTGTTTCAAACATTTATTGCAATTGCAAAAAATAGGGCATGTAGGGATGATGCTATTTAGAGCTTCAGAAAATTTTATTAAAACCTGAAAATACCTTAATGAAAGTAGAATAGCTCAGAAAAGCGCAGTGCCAGGCGTGGTGATGAATGCCTCTGATCCCAGCACTCGGGAGGCTGAGGCGGGAGGATCACTGTGAGTTCAAGACCAGCCTGAACTGCGTAGTGTAGCCCTGTTTCAAACAGACAAACAGAAAAAGACAAAAACCCAAGTGAAATGTTTTCTTGAGTTGCCTTGTACAATAACCATATGCTTTATATCGAGTAACATAAAACAGTAGTCACTCATTCAGCAGATAATCGGGAAGTGTCTGCTTTGTATCAGGCACTGTTCAAGTGCCAAGGAAAACAGATAAAGCGGTTTGTCTTCTGGAGCACAGATTTGTGTGTGTATCTTTTTGAGACAGGGTTTCATTGTGTAGTCCAGGCTGGCCTTGAACTCACTTTGTAGCCCAGGCTGGCCTCGAATTTGCAGCGATCTTCCTGCCTCAGCCTCCTGAGTGCTGAGATGACAGATGTGCTCCACCATGCCTGGCTTGGAGCATAAATTCTAGTGAGGGACACAGGCAGCTCTCCAGGCAGAGAATGAAGTGACAGTGTAATGTCAGGTAGCAGTAAGTGTGACCAAACAGGAGGCCGGGTAAGGTGGTCAGTAGTGTAGCCGTCAGGGAGTTGTTCCAGGCAGGGCAGTCAGTGTCCCACTGCTACTTCTGATCGGTAGTTGGGAGGGAGGTGGGCACTCGATATGAGAGCAGGAGACAGGATGCTGCAGCCTTTGCCGTTTCACAGCCTCTGGAGCGAGCCGGGGGAGAGGCGGAACCTGGAATGCCGGGCGTGCTGTCAGTTGGTGACCTTGCTGCGTGTCTGTGAGCTGACCATAACGTTTGGGTCTCCATGCTTTGTATTCTACCTCCTTTTCTTTTTTATAAACTAAAAGTCATGATCAAGCATTGCCTCCCTTTCTGAGACCCTTTCCTCTTGATCATTCTTCTGGCAAAACAAAACAAAACAAAACAACCAAAACATATTTGTCTGAATATACAATTGTGGAAAATTTGCTTTAAAATTCCAGTGAAGAATTGACTTCTTTCTCCTTTCGAGTTTAGTATTATTCCTTTTAATTGTCTCTGGGAACACAATCATTTTGCAATCTTTTCATGCCAGTCTCAAGTATGTTTCCCTAAGAACAGGAAATCTAACTTTGCTTTCTTGGTATCTGTAGGTCCAATTTGAGTTTTGAGTACATTTCTGCTGAATAAATGAGAGTCTGAGAGACAAACCTGTAAATCTGTGTGGCTTTTTCTGCTGGGTGCCGGGCTCACGAGGCTAATGGTTTACTGACAGGAGCTCTGGGTGGGGGCTGTGTGTGAACCCTAGTGCTGCCAGGGGGTGCAGACACCTTTCAATTCTGGAGGGATGCCGTGAAATAGTGTATGTTGGGGTTCTGTACACCCTGAGTAAACGTTAAGATAAATATCCAGCTGCCTACTTGATATATCTCCCCTTGGATATTTTGTAGAAACCAGAAATTATTATTGTTAAGCCAAAGTTACCATTTTCTTGTTTTGGGTACCGGGAAATCAAACTCATGACCTCACCTTGTCAGGTAGGCACTAAATCCCCAGCCAGTGACTATTGTCTTAAAATTGAATTAAAAAAAAAATTTTTTTTAGTGCAGTTAGTTTACTCACTTTCTAAAGCCAGTAAGGTTTCTAGAGCAAAGAATTTTCAGTTTTAAATGACCAGCTTTTCAGGGTGTTGTATAAAAATGTAACCTGGTCATAGGGCAGCAGCAACCATTTCCCACACTTTCTACCGTGCCGTGATCAGCCTTTTAATGTGTACTGGTAAGACAGGCCAGCAGGGGTCTGACGTATGGGCCACTTGTGTTCTTTGATAGGTTGCCTGTTATGTCATTTCTGAGGTGTTTTCATGCTTCGTGAGAGTGCACTTCCCTTTGCTGTACTACAGTCTTTGGCTCAAATCTCTCCTCTGACCCAGTGCAGGCTCCTTAAGGACTCATTGAGTTTCCCCAGCACAAACCTCATTCCTGGGACGTGGAGATTGAATTCCAGATTTGGATTTGTAGTGTTGGAATTATTATTGTTATTTTTATTTTGAGTTGGAGTCTCACTGTGTAGCCTAGGCTGGCTTTGAACCCGCAGTGGTTCTCCTGCTCAGCCTCCCAAGTGCTGGGAGATTACAGGTATTGGAATTCTTATTTCATTTTTAAGTGGCACTTCTCTGGATACAAGAACAAGTCAAAATATGCCAGGTTGTTTTAATTTAGTAGCAGCTATTCATCTTGGGTAAAAGACATCACTGCGTACTCGTTTAGCATCATACATTAGTAAACCGTGCTTTTTGAAAATTCAGTAGCATCTTTGGAGTTCAGGACATGTGAGGATGCTTATTATAAGTCTGTGGTT